TTTTTTAAACTTTAGCAAACACCCATTTAAACAACACTTGCTTTCTTAATCCAATCTTTAGATTCCAACTCTATCTTTTATCGAAGCTTGGAAGCTAAAAGTTGACGTCTGAAGTTACGCTTTAGTTAACTTGTATAGAAAATATATTAGAACCCTTTTAATAAATTAAATCCCCCTCATCTTGTTTTGATTACAAACTCTACTTGAATGTCTATTATCTTTTTTACTTTAGTTAGATAAAAGATTATGATTGAATTGTTTAATTCGTTACTCCTATCATTCCATAAACGTTGAGATTACATAGAATCAAAGATTGGTTTCTCTTCTGTGTGAATTCTCTATATAAAATCGTTCCATATATATACATACATTCCTATGAATGTATAGCCAGAAATTTATACCACTGAGCTTCTTGTCGAATATATATATATATTAGAAATTCAAGTTTCCTCTTGTACGGATTTTTTCCATTATATTTTGATTTCTTTTTTCTAATTTGTCTATTATTTCTTGAAAATTTTGTTTTAGTTATGATGTATTTACACACTGCAAACCGAATATAATCTATAGTGCGAACGGTTGTTATATCAAACACAAAAAAAATATAATAATAATAATAAAAAATAAGGCTATAGCCTTAATATTTAGGTGGTGTGATGGTAATTCCATGGTATACAATCTCCTATGAAAGTATAGTCATAAATGATACATGTAACATATGACCAAGTCTATTCGTTTTTACCTACTATGACAAAGGAAATGAACCAACGAACTGTTGATCTGAGTGGGAGAAATTTGGTTCCTTTTAAGTAAAATTTCAAGTTCAAATGTTATGAATGAAAAAACAGACATTGAAAGAATTTCATCATAAATAGAGTCTAACGTAATTCGATTTCAAATTAATCGAAATCCAATGTGATTACCGAATACCAAAAAGTTAGTAAAAAAAAAAAAACAAAGAAAGTGGATCTAGACTCGAAGCGTTTTAGGCCACGAGAGGATTGGCTCGTGACAAAAACAATATCTCAACCCAAATGTCATAAATATTGATATTGAAAATGTAGCTTGAAGTGGACCTCTCGGAGTCAAGGGCCGGAGTTTTACCGGTGAATATTGAATAGTGATGGTGCCCGACAAGTGTAGTTTACGAGGGATTCAATAATCTGAAGGGACCATTTGGCTTTAGGACTGCTGGTTATGTCAATTAGAGTCCCAGCCTCTTGTCCTTCGTTATGGAACATTAGCCCCTGAGAATATGGATTTGGTAGGCAAAGGGTACGGAGCAGCGTTAATTAGCAGGAAGTTGCTATCTACTCTGTTCTCTTTTTTTATTTTTTTCTGCTGCCTTTGTGTCTGGTTACCATCCAACTGTACAGGGGAAATTGGACATAATAAATAGTATAAATTAAATTATTAAAACAATTTCTCACTTAAAAACAAGAATTTTCAATGGATTAGGTCTTTATTTTTTTCAATCAAACAATGGACAAGTGTTAAAGAATTTTTATTAGTTTATCCCATACCAGCAGCTTCTGAATAATCCCAATTATCTTTAAACTATAGATTGATCTTATATAAAAAAAAAAAAAAATTTCTTCTCAAACAAGTTATTTATCAATTTGGTTCCTCACATCTAGTATTTTTTGTTTTAACTTATCATATTTTAATTGGAGCACTGGCATCTGGCCAATAATTGCTCTACTAATTAGTTGACAGATGTATTGTGACATTGTTAATTATGCTTTGAATAAAAAATATTATTATAGAAAGTAGTCTTGTATATGTAATGGGTAGGGGTGCTTGTTGTATTCTGATAATTAATAAAAAATAAAAATAATAATTACTCTACTAACCTATGCTCAATTCACTTACAGGCAAATAAGTTCTATGTAAATATAATTACTTATTTATTTTTAAATAATTATTTAAAATATATATTATACTAAATATATATAACACTATAGTATCATTTTAATCCTTGAATTTAACAATTAACGACCAAGTAATAATTTATGTAAGAGTTTTACTTATATAAATACATCTCCATTTTTTTTTTTGTATATTAATCTTCCATCATTTTATTAGATTAATTTCTTGTCCTCGCTACTAGGGCATCCAAGCATGAGTTAAAAATGAAAATTCAACTCCATACGTAATTTCCACAATCGCCATTGATTTTTCACATGTAGGGAATTAATGCATTGGTTTGTTCCCTGCCAAAAAATCAACGGGGAAATAATAGTGTCACTTTCTTAAAACAAAATCATTAATCACCTATACACTGTAAAAAAAAAAAAAACATTGCAATCAAACAAGTCAACGTGGAAATAGCAATTTGGCCCACTTTTGCCCAATGGTGTTTGGACTTTCGTGTTACTACTTACAAGAAACAAAGTGATGCGAAGCTAAGCGTATA